AAAACCAATACAAATGGCAAAAACTTGAAGAGACACTTGTGAAATATGTTATCTAATAGTTGTAAGTGTACTAAAAGCACTTAATATAATTACTCATTAGGTAAATGAAAATTAAACCCTATCGAGTGATCCACTTGTGCCCTTTCAGCACCCAAATTGTATTAATGTAGCCAGAAGGAAATGACCACAAGAGGATAATGAAAAATAGTCACTACCTCCAGGGAAAGGGATGTCTAAGTAGGTTTTCTAGAAACTTCTGTTAAATTAAGTTTAGCCTAAAGCTGCCTCCTTACTTATTTTAAGCTCAGGGCAAAGGCTTCTCCATACATAGTTCTCTGTAACCTAACAGGATACACAAACAGGCTGTAGTCTACTCTCTACCAACCCCTAAGTTTTGGCCATAGGTATCTAACTGTTCAAATTACATTAAAATAAGGCAAGTCCCAAGCTGTAACCAATCCAGCTGTTTCTGTACCTTACTTCCTTTTCCTATAAGTCACTTTACTTTTTCTGTCCATAAATCTTCTTTGACCATGTGGCAGTGCCAGAGTCCCTCTGAATCTGTTCTGGTCCGGGGCACTGCCTGAATCTCTAATGGTTCTTTGCTCAATTAAACTTTGTAAAATTTAATGCATCTAAAGCTTTTCTTTAACACTTCCATCATCAAAGCATGTTCAATGGAAGAAGAAAAAGCAGTAATAGACACCAGACTGGGACACAGACATAAAAGCAGGTTTTACTAGGAAAAAAGAAAGTTGATATTTATTGGCCATCCTATATGTCAAGTGGCGCTATTTATACATTTCATATTATTATCTAATTTAAGCATTATACACCCTACGAGATAGATTTTAGTGTTCCAGTTTTTTACATTTGGGAAATGAGACACAACTTTCCCTAACTTTGAAAAGCATCTCTAACTAAAGTCAGCCAGGTGTAACATCTTAGAGGGCTCCGAAAAAGCAAAGTTTGGACTATGGAGAAGCAACTGGCCCCAAAGCAGCATCGGCTTTCTCAGTGAGGGTGACAAGATGATGCCAAATCTAGGCACAAATTGCTTCATGATCAACAGACTGGGGAAATCACCAACTAAGCATTTGAGAGTGCTGAATGTATTAGCAAGTCTCTTCCACAGTAGTGCGCTGTGAAGCACAAAAGGCTAGAGGGAAAGATGGGATACTATGCCTTAAACACTCCAAGCGGGCTTCCCTATCAGGACCTTTGCCCGTGGCCTTTGCCCACTCTGCCTGCAACGCTGTACCCCCACAAAACTTCATGGTATACATCTGAACTCCTCTATGGCTTTATGCAAAAGTCACCACCTTGTGAAGCCTTTATCAAAATCTTTCATTTATATTTTCCTTCTTTGAGAATCAGGCTCTAGCATAGTCCACGTGTTGAGAACTAAAGCACCAAGTTCTGAAGCACTGCCACCTGGTGTCCCACGAAACTATTTGGTGAGGCTTACGCTGGCCTCCCTGCTGCCCTCCAGTGTTCGTGGGCTAAGTTGTGGTGAAGCCTGGTTGCAACAGGAGCTAACATTTCTGAACCAATGTCAGTAACCTTCCCTTGCAGTAACCATGTGAGACAGGATTCAGCAGGACTGGCTGGGATTTTTTTTTTCATTTTTAATATCTTTTTCCCTGAATATGTGAAGGTGATTGATTTCAAAATGGCAAATGTAATATTTGGGATTATTTAGGCTAATAGAATACCTTGGAAACAAAGCTTGGTATTATTGCACAAAGTGGGAGCTTTTTCTCTATTAAGTGAGAGTTCGTCTACTGCTCTGTCCCTTACTGTCATATACAAATATCATAAGAAGTAGAAGCAAGAGTCAATGATGCAGAAAAATAAGCCACTGCAGGGAACTCTGTGTAGCATACTCTATCCATGTTATATGTCTCCCAACCTCCCAATAAGCATCATAATCCAGCTGATTTCCAACTAACAGTAAGAAACATGATAGAACGTGAATATTTATTACAGTACATAAAATATGCTATGCAAATTGCAAAATATCTCTTGGAAAAATACTGAGTTTTATCTTGTAGATAGACTGCACTGCAATTTCAGATTGTGTCAACCACCTCCCCCCCAATATTTTCTATATTGAAGGCATCTGGTTGAGTGCCTGAGACACAGAAGTTATTGTACTAGATGATTTATTAGGTTGTGCAAAAGTAATTTCTGTTTTTTCCATTACTTATAAAGTAATGGCATAGCTATTACATAGGCTTGGATTGGATTTCTGGACCTACCACTCATTGGTTGAATTATCTTGATCAAATTACTTAATAACTTTTATGCTTCAGCCTCCTTATCCCTACAATGTGGATATTGATAGTACTTACTACTAAGGGTTATTTTGAGAAATAAACAAGATGACAAATCCTAATGCTTAGCCCAGTACCAACAAAAAGCTACTCATTACTTACAGAAAAGGAAATTGAATATGAGAGAGGTTTAATGTCTTGCCTAGCATCACAAAGTGTCAGAGTTGAGCCTTTCCTCATCCCCTGGGTAGAGCAGATACCTTTTCTCACCCCAAGAATAACTCTCTATCTCATTACAGTTTTATATTGTCTTTATAGAGCTTATCACTATGTAGAATTATCTTATTTAAAAAAAACTCATTTATTTAGTTTCTTTTCACGGCATGCTAGCCCCTTTTCTATTTCTTCATTACCATGTTCTCCACGCCTGGAATAATGCCTAGCACACAAGAGACATAATCAATATATGTTTGTTGAATGAGTTCACGAAAGGTAAAATTATGTCCAGAGTACTTGCAATTCAAATATTAATATAAAAGTTTAAGCTGGATTAATCTTTGTGTTATTTATCCAGAATTGTCAGGATTTCTATCCTGTAAGTCTCTTCACATAATACTTAAATAAGTAAATGCTAAATAGTTGAATATTAGCTTTGGTTTATCTCCATTGCTTTTTTTACACTTTTGGTGAATTAATAAATAATCTTACTAAAAATTTTTGCTATAAATCCCTCACTTTACTCACCTCACTGGGGGGATGAGGTGGAAGAAATTTTGAGGCATTTTTCCCTGTAGTACATGCATCTTGTCTTTTATGTTGCAAAAGTTTTTCAGAGGCCTCATGTAGATGTATATATCTTTATGTTTTAAAAAATCCTGTGTATGCACACAAGCACATAACACACCCACCTTGCATAAAAGCAGATATACAGGCCCACTATTTGCTCAAAACAGAGAAAGTAAATTGACCTGTTTCTCTTCATTATCAGGGTGGGTACATTTAGAATCCTCCCTTGATATATTAGGCTGTTAAGAATGATAAAGACTGATAGTACTAGTTGAGTTGTTTTGTGGCCAAAATGAAGACGAAGGAAACTAGGATCAAGCATTCTTCCAGAAGGAGAACCTCATTGTTTACTTTTCCTATAAGGCTGTATTTAGTTGCCAACAGGCTTGGCTTTTACTTTAGGTAAAATGTGTGGCTACACCTTGTAGGATTCTGTCCAACCGTTATAGATAGAGGAATTCTCCCTGCTGTTAGAGCTATGCCCTTCTTGGTCTAGACACTGCTCCTCCAACCTGTGGGTGACTTTTTCAGTGGATCAGAATTCTCACCAGAAATGAACTCCACAGCATGTAGGCATTCTGTGTGGTTGTGGCCATGCCTTCACTCTCCTGTGATGAAGTCATCTGAATGCTGTGATCTGGAAAAGAAACTACCTTGACTGGAATGGCTTGCCTAGCAGCCCGTCCCTAACCCTAGTCCTCATGCTTCTGAACTGGGAGTCACTACTGAGGCTTCCAGGATTTCCTTTACTACCCATACCTGTATCTCTGTTCCTGGGAAGGAAAGCTGGAAGTTAACCATTGAGATACTTTCTAACCCTGTTCTAATTTTTTACAGCATGATTTAAATGTACGTGGAAAGTGCTGTCCCCTGGTTTTAGTACATACCCCATGCTGTTTCCTTTACTTATTACAGTTGTTCGCTGGAAAGGTTTTAAAGGCACTTCATACACCAAATACCCAGAGGTTGAATTTATATTCTGAAAAAAATTAATTAATGCTATCTTGTACTCGTAAATTTCCCTTGGATATATCTTATTTCTCCAATTACATTTTGGGCTCACAGGGAAGGGAATGTTGCTTTGTAATTTTTTTTTCTTTCTTTTCCTCTCCCATAGATGAGGCTGTAGCTTTGTAATTTTTAATTCCTCAAAGCTCCTAGGGAAACTCAAAGCACAAAAACTACTGTTTAAACAAATACATGTATAATGAATCAAACGAACATTATATCTGGACTGTGACAGAACAAGACAGCGTAATTCTTATTTACTTTTAAATAACTTTATTGGAGTACGTTTACATTGTATAAATTCATCCATTTTGAATGCATGGTTCAATGATTTTTAATTAATCACTGATTTATGAAATTATTACCATAATTTATTTGTAAATACTTTTCAAAACCCTAGAAAGATCCTTAATGCCAAATTATAGTTAATCTCTAACCCAACCCTGGCCCCAGGCAACCAGCTTATGTCTTTATAGATGTTCCTTTTCTGAACCTTCCATAAATGGAATCATTCAACATGTATCTTTTGTGTCTGCCTTCTTTTTCTTAAAATAATATTTTTGATACTCATCTGTGTTATAGCATATATTTGGTGTTTTATTTTATATATTTTATTTTTGCTTATTTATTTATGTTGCTGAATATCATTCATATCTTGTATAAATGTACTGCACTTTGTTTATTCATTCATCTGCTGATGGACATTTGGGTTGTTTTCATTTTTTTAGCCATTATAAAGGATATCCACAAATTAGACTTCCATTATTTTTAGAACATAGCTAACGTGTAAAACATTCATGGTGCATCACAAATGTAGGTGGTATGTCAGATTTCAAAAATTAGAGTCTAGAGCTACTAGATAGATATATGTTCTAATTCTTAATATGCCATTAGCTAATTGACCTTGAGTGAATTATTTAATCTCCTTGAGTAATTACTTAATCTCCTTGAGCTTTGGGTTTTTTTTGTTTGTTTGTAAATTGGAAACGGTACTATCTCTATTTCATGACTTTTGTATTAGAAAATGTACATAAAGAAAAATGTAGTTTAGCACTTAGATATGTACACATTTATAATTTGAGGGGGATTCAAATGTTGGTTTTTAATATTTGAAGATTCAAAGAAAAGTGCGTTTCCTACCAAAAATTACCATCCCACCTGTAACTCTTCTAAATTTGAATAACAGCAGTTAACAGTTAGGCAGTCACTTCTGAAAGGTTGTCAATTCTCTTTGTGTTCAGACTCAGAGGGATTTCCTCAATGTTTATGAAGTTGGCCTGAAGAAACAGTTACTTCAACCCCTCTTTGCGAACCACAGGAAACGGAATATAGGGCAGAGTGCTTCTAGGGCATTTATAGGAGGTGGTCTCTGATTGGCTGGGCAACCAGGAGCAGAATCCTGTTTTCTGAAGCAGAATATTTCCACAGATTTTGGCTGCAAAACATTTTTCTGCTGAGAGCACCTGAGCAGGGAACATGGAGAAGAATCCTTTGGCAGCCCCATTACTAATACTCTGGCTTCATCTTGACTGTAAGTCTAGGGATTACAGGAGACATTCTGAGTTGTCTTGGGTGATGATGAGGAAAGAGGAGGATGCAGTCAGACACCCTGGGTTTTATTTGGGGATGTGTGAAGAAAATGCAAACTCTGTAGAGAGACCAATTTCTATGTCTTACTCTCTAACAAACAGGCGTGAGCAGCATAACGAACGTGGAACAAAGCCCTCAGTCACTGCGTGTTCAGGAGGGAGACAGCACCAATTTCACCTGCAGGTTCCCTTCCAGCAATTTTTATGCCTTACACTGGTACAGATGGGAAACTGCAAAAAGCCCCAAGAACTTGTTTGTAATGACTTTAAACGGGGATGAAAAGAAGAAAGGACGAATAAATGTCACCCTTAATACAAAGGAGGGTTACAGCTATTTGTACATCAAAGGATCCCAGCCTGAAGACTCAGCCACATACCTCTGTGCCATTACACAGTGCTATTCAGACACCTGCAGCCCATTCGCAAACCTGTGGCTGGTGTTGCACTGCTACTCGGTTTCGACAAAGAACTGTGAGTAGGATGGAAAAGATAGGTTGGAAAAGACAAATTCCTTGAATTACAGTTTTTTTTCAAGAGGATTATGGAAACAGAAAAATAAGCATGCTAGTAATCACAGCTAATTACCACAAAAGCTAATTAAGTAAACCTATTTTTTATGATAGATATCAGAGTGCTAATGAAGCATAACACCTTACCTGGTAACTTGGCTGTTACTAAACAATACTAACCCCAGCTCCCAACAACACAATAACTACGTCATTGACTCAGACCCATCGTCTGCTCCTTTGGCATGATTCTGAAAGAACCCAATAGTCACTCAATCCTATCTAAAACAATTGGGTAAATAAAGGTAATGTTTACCCCCTCATTGATCCTATGTCCTAAAAATGAGTTCTTCTATCATATTTTTTCCACAAGCACAAATGGAGCATGTGGCATGCCCCTTCCTCACACACCTGGCAAGGAAATATGCACGTTTAATACCAGAGCGAGTGATGTCGCCTCCTTTAATCCACTGGGGATTTTGGTTTTGCTTCAGTTCAACTTTCCCCCTACATGAACATTTGCATTTTTATTTCTTCTCACATGTGGCTATTTTCATTTTTAAATATCACTCACAATATCATAAAGGAGCACTGATGAAGGCTCTTCGCTATTAATATGGTCTATCCCCCCGCCTGTACTGTGATTGTGATATTGGATGACCAACTGAACTCTATTATCAAAGTCTCTTCATTTGTAATTTCCAGGTATATGAAGCAGGTTGAGTGTCTGGTGCTCTGCTCTTTCTGCAGATTTCCAAACAACCCATCAGTTTAAGGTTCCATTGGTATTCTAGAGGTCTCTAATTCCAAGCTTCCTTGGGGGTTAAGATGAAGTAACTTGCTTTTGGTCCTCTCATCTAAAAGCTAGAGTTTCAACTTTCTCTAAACATCTACAATTAATCATTTCTTATCCAACTCCTGTCCAGTTTCCTAAATTATGCTGCTATTGCACTTTCTCTCTCTTTTGTGAATTTGTTTTTTAAATCTTATTATTGTTATCACATATTTGGAAAAAAAACTATATATTTAAAAATAATATTGGAGTGTATACACATCCCTTAGACTGGATCCATTTAGAGATATATACATAGAAATATTTTTTTCAAAATTTATTCACGTGGTAGTAATGAATCTATTTGACTATCAGATTGGGAGAGGCTAAATTTGTAATATTATCTGAACGTATACGGAATTGGGAGCATATAGCTCAGGAATAAGTGCAGAGAGGCTACAGTTCATTGTATACTAGTGTTGGTGGAGAAGAACTACACAAAAGAAGACTGATCACTCTTCCAGCTGCTGGACAAATTTCCAAACCAGCTCTCCATTATTATTGTCAAAAAGATCAATGGAAGAATTTCTAATATTTCCAGCAATGATCTTGTAGTTTGAACTAACTCTGAATTGGCAGAATCAAAAGGCTGGATAAAAGAAAAGATGAACCTCTGGCTCATTTGCATGTGGCTGCAACACAATGCCTCAGTCTCCTTCATATCAAAGCACACATAGAAATTGATTACGTTCATGCAACACTTCAGTGTGGAATGATGCTGCTTGAAACCAGCCCATGATTCCAACTTCCTTGAGAACTCTGCCTGCCTTAGGCTGCGATGATATAGAGATCTTCCCACACACCTGATCAATTCCTGGATATACTGATATGTAATTTGGAAAATCTGTTATAAACATAAGAAAAATGTAAATCTGTAGTGCCAGGTCCTTACAAAATATCTACGTATTTATGAAAGCTGTATGTAACCAAGTAAATATGGATCAAAATTTTCAGTCTCTTTAGATTCTAAAACTGATCTTGAAATTGAAAATAATGTGGTTAAATTCTGATTATTTATAGAGACACAGATAGGCATGTTCTTGTAAATTTTGTTAGTTTAGCCATGTGGAATGAGAAGAGTGAGTCAGATATAAAAATCATGTTAAATAAGAAACACAGATTTCTGTTGATTGCAGGACCCCAACCTGAGCAATCAGCCACCTGTTCCTGTGCTGTGGCAGCACAGAGTTCTTGTTACCTCTCATCATTTCCACCAGGTCTTCTGGGCAGGTGCAGATGCACAAGGAAGGTTTTTGAAAAGAAGTTAAAATTGTTAGCTTTGTCTTCATTTTGAGATCCCAATCCAATATTCCTAAGAAGGAAAAAAGCATCCCAATGTTGTACATTTCAAATTTCTTAATTCATGGGATTTGTCATTTTAAGCATATTCTAAAACTGCTTCTTGGTCTGTTTCCATTTCATGCAATAATTCAGATTTAGATTCACTTTTGACCCTACACAAAATGTTGCTATTTCTGCCATTAAGGCATTTACATGGGAACACTTCAAAGGCATTAGATTTCTTGTAGTGGGTTGAACGCTGGCAAAAGATATGTCCATGTCCTAATTCCTAGAAACAGTGAATGTGGTGTTATTTGAAAAAGGGTCTTTGCAAATGTAATTGGAGTTAAGAATAACAAGAACAAGATCACCTGGATTATTAAGGTAGGCCCTAAATCCAATGACAATTGTTCTTTTAAGAAACACACAGATGAGGCCGAGTGCCGTGGCTCACACCTGTAATCCCAGCACTTTGGGAGGTCTAGGCAGATGGATTACCTGAAGTCAGGAGTTCAAGACCAGCCTGGTCAACATGTTGAAACCCTCTCTCTACTAAAATTCAAAAATTAGCCAGGCATGATGGTGAACACCTGTAATCCCAGCTACTCAGGAGGCTGAGGCAGGAGAATCGCTTGAACCTGGGAGGCAGAGGTTGCAGTAAGCCAAGATCAGATCACTGCACTCCAGCCTGGGTAACAGAGCAAGACTGTCTCAGAACAAAAGAAAAAAAAAAAGGAAACACACAGATGAGAAGGGCATCTAAAGACAGAGATAGAGGTTGCAGTTATGCAGCTACATCCAAGTGATGGATGCCTGAAACCACCGGAGGCTGGAAGAGATGGGGAAGGATTCTTCTCTAGAGCATTCAGAGGGAGCACAGCCCTGCTGACACCTTTTCTGGCCTCTAGTGCTATAAAGAAAATAAATTTTGTCAAGCCACCAAGTTTGTTTGCTACAACAACCCTAGGAAACTAGTATCTCCCAAAGGTATTTCTAAATGGCTACAACCAAACTTTTTTTTATAGATGGGCACATGGCAAACCAATACCATTCGAATATGGCATTGGTTCTAACATCTTATTTTCTGAAATATTTTTAGTTTAAATAATCACATGGTATACATACAAACACACACTTTTATTTATAATATAATGAACACTTGAGTATCCATAATTCAACAGCCATTTGAGTAGGACATATTGGTGAATAATAGACAAATAGTTACTAAGGGCTTACCACATATCAGGAGTATACTAGTGATCCATCAGCAAACAAAAGAAATGAAATTTCTTGTTTTCATAGACCCTATATTCTAGAGCAGCACTGTCACATAGAATTTTCAAAGATGATAAAAATGTTCTGCATCTGTATGGACACTAGTCACATATGGATACTCAGCACTTGAAATGTGGTTAGTGTGAATGAGAAACTAAATTTTAAATTTTATTAAATTTAAATTTAATATCCTTATTTAATTTAAATTTAATACCAAATAGGATGGTGCTTTAAGATGATACAGTGCACATCTTCAGGGTACAAAAAGGCTAACTCAGATAATTAATTGGTAGTTATACAGGTGTAGTATAAACACTGTGATAAGTGTGACTGAAGTTCTGTGGAAGTCCACAGTTTTCTAAGTTATTTTCTGTTTTTATCTTCTAACCTTTTCCACCACTTACTGTAGTTGTTTATCAGCTAGATCAGAACAGAAAGCTACTTTATCCAAGTGTTTTGTTTTTAGGAAGCCTTCCTATAGAAATTGATTATTTGTTAAACAAGACTTTTTTTTCTAATTATATTAATGTCTTCCCTCGTTACTGCTGGCATGTGTAAAAGTAACGTAATGGGATGGTAGATAGGATCTCTAAATTGGATAATTTACCAGGGAAATCTGGGTGACAAAAGAGAAATATGTATTTCTTTTCTTCCGTTTTGAGGTAATGGGTTGTCTAACAACAAATCACGAGTGTCTCCCACATTTATTAAAATGTCTGTGACCTAATATGTCCCATGAGAGCACTTACAAGCACAGGCTACATGGCACAACATGATTCTTAATGACAATGGAAGTGACAAAATGGGAGTTTCTCTTTTCTTCAGATGCCCTAGTTTTAAATCACAGAGTCCATTTTTAAGTGGCAAATTAAAGTCACTATCAGCAAACTCTTTCCTTTCAATCATTGACACACATACATACCACCTAAATTAGAAGGCAACTTTACTAATAAAAGAATCGGTTGTCAAGTCAGCAATGTTTGAGTCCAGCCACAGGGGGGCAGCATCAGCAAACATAGACTCTCTTCTGAAGTGGGTGGGCAAAATAGTCTGACTGGCTTTCTCACATTGCAGTCACCTCTTCTTCTTTCCAAAACGCACACATCTACTTTCCAAAATAGACCACAACTATTTCTATTGAGCTGGAAGAAGCTTGTACCAGGCAACCCATTTAGGAGCAGTTGGATGAAGAGGAAGGAGAGAGAGATGCTACTCATCACATCAGTGTTGGTCTTATGGATGCAATTGCCACGTGAGTTTGAGACGTCCCTGATTGCTTCCAGAGAATAAATCCAACAGGATAGAGAAGTATCTGCAGGCAAGGAATGGACTTTCTGTTTGAGAAACAAGAATTGAGAGAGAGAGAGAGAGAGAGAGAGAGAGAGAGAGAATAAAGATTGAGGGAGATGGGAAGAGAGACATGGAAAGAAAGGGGGAAAAAGGAAGAAAGGAGTGAGAGAATCGCGCGTAGCTCAGAGACTAGAGATCTAATCTGATTTTATGTGATGCTTCCCACTGTCTTTCTAAACAGAGGTGAATGGACAACAGATAATGCACATTCCTCATTTCCAGCATGTACAAGAAGGCGAGGACTTCACCATATACTGCAATTCCTCAACCACTTTAAACAATATACAGTGGTATAAGCAAAGGCCTGGGGGACATCCTGTCTTCTTGATAAGGCTAGTGAAGAGCAGAGAAGTGATGAAGCAGAAAAGACTGACATTTCAGTTTGGAGAAGCAAGAATGAACAGCTCCCTGCACATCACAGCCACCCAGACTACAGATGTAGGAACCTACTTCTGCGCAGGGCACAGTGCTTCCCACCCACCTGCTGCCTGCCTCTAAATCTTGCCCTGCGTCTTGAAGAGCAGACCATCCTACTCTCCCCGAAGAGAAAGCCAAAGTCACAATGCCTGTGAGGATCTCGAGCAACTCTTTCCCATAGCATAGGGATGCATGCAGAAATTCACTCTGTAGGACCTGGAAGAGGTTAACGGTTTTATTTCCTAAAACTTAACTATCGGTTTTCTTCTAACACCAGGTGTATCAAGTAATTCTAATTGTCTAGGAAGAATCAGTGGATTTTAACAAGTTGTGGTACCGGTATTTATATAAAAAGTCTGAGTTCAGCTTACAGTGCGGTGGTCCCCCACATTTTTGGCAGCAGGGACCGGTTTTGTCGAAGACAATTCTCCACGGAGCAGGGTGTGGGGATGGTTTAGGGATGAAACTGTTCACTTCAGATCATCAGGCATTAGTTACATTCTCTTAAGGAGCGTGCAGCCTTAATCCCTAGTATGTGCAGTTCACAATAGGGTTCCAGCTCCTATGAGAATCTAATGCCGCAGCTGATCTGACAGGAGGCGGAGCTCAGGCAGTAACGCCCACCTGCCGCTCACTTCCTGCTCTGCGGCCAGGTTCCCAACAGGCCGCAGAACGGTACCGGTTCCCTCCCCCCACCAGGGGTTTGGGACCCCTATTTGGGTGGTACCAGAGGTTTCCAAGCAGTTTCTTTAAGGTTTTAGCTCAATTGTATTGTGAAAGATTTGAAAATTAAACATTTTTCATTATGTACACAAAATTTAAAAGAAGTTTATCACCAATTTCCTGCAGAGTCACCCCTGTAGAACTCATCTACTTCAATGCAATGCAGTCCAATATGGCATAAAGATTATGCATGCGGTAACTACCTTTCCAGAGAACTGAGTGAAGAGAGCTGTTTTTAAAATAAGGAGTTTAGACGAAACCGGAAGGTGACCCATGAAAAGATTTGGGCCCGGTCTCTTTTTCGCTCTTCTATCTGCAATTATATTCCCCAAGGCCAGATGAAGCTGATGATACAAGTTCTGGTAGCCATGTTCATTGGTCTAACACGGGGAAAAGCTAGCCATAGATCTCGAAGTGTGTTCTGATTTGACCAATTACCTTATTTCTCAGTACTTACAAAAGTTTTTGTCCTGGGAAAGAGAAGATAAATGCAACTGTATTGGAGAATTTAAACATTAAAATCAAGTGAGATTCACCAGTTAAATGGACAAATAAAGTGTTTGCACGTTTTTAATAAAACATTTTGTAGCCATAAAATTATTGTGATGAAAATTTTGTAACATAGGAATTAATATATCAAATGAACAAAGCCAAATACAAAATAGTACTATGCCACTTACAAAACAAAACAACATATGTATATAGAAAAATATGGATGGGAACACATGCGTGTTTAGGCTAATTTCTAAGAGGACCATAATTATTTAGTAGTTGTTA